CTGGCTAATTGTAGAGTTCTCTGGCTCCTGCTGCCGCTGCTATTGCTACTAGTGTTGCTGCGTCTCCACTGCTTCTCCGCTGCTTCTTCTTATACTGCATACTTCGTCTTCGCTAACTTTGCTGCGGCTATTGCCATCATTCTGCTCTGCCTCTTCTTCTTCTTGTGCCTCTTTTGCTGCTTCGCCTGCTGGTGCTGCTGCGGTCGCCGTCCAAAAACAGCATCCAATTTTCTGGCCGAGCAGCGTGAAAAAAATGTTTTGCAAATTATTTCTGCGCAGAAGACGCAACCAACTTTTTCACTGCTCGCATACAAAAATTTCTAATAAGCCAGTTTTTCAGTGAAAATGTATTAAATTTCGTTGGAAAAAAACACAAATCCATGTGTGTGTAAGTAAAAATTTTAAAATAATGTGAAATTTGTGCATTTCAACCCCAAAAAAATATTAGTAAAAAAAATTGTGCAATATGGCTTGGCCGAAAAAAAGTTTGCAAGAAACGAGACTCCCAAATTTAGGCTACGAAAAGCTGTGGAGCAAAGTGGCGAATAGGATTGGATTGCGAAGCACAGTGAAAGCAAATTGAAAGCAAATCGAAGTGAAAATTTTTATTTGGAATGAAAAGGAGTGGTGAAGAAATCTGCCACAAAGTTTTTCGGTGAAAAATGAAAGTGAAAATTTTGCGTTGAAGCAAGTGAAATTTGTGTAATTGTGGTAAAAGCGAAAGTTGGATTTTGGTAGAGTAACGAAAAGTACTCGTGATTGGCAAAAATACAAATTTTCGCTGCAGAAAAAATATACCAAAAAAGAGGCGTGTAATTTTTAGTAAGCTAATTTAGAAAAATAAAATAAAATATAAATACGAAATGCAGACAATAAAAAAAAATTTATGTGCAAAGGCATATTAGTTGCATACCTACGTTTTCTCTTACGAGTAGAAAGCATCGAAAGCCTTGATCGTCTGGGTACCAATCCCTCCAGTACCACCGTTAAGTAACTATGTACCTCGTCCGTAGACGGAGTAAGCACTAAACTACATACATATATACATGTAGTGGCTCACAGTTTAAATCGTTAGAATTCACAAAGTTTTACATGCTAAATAATTTATGTTATTTTTTTATAAAAATATATTTCATGGTACAAAAAACACTATAAAAACCAAAATTCCAAATATTGTACAAAAATTAGGAGAGTTCAGCAAAAGACTTCCTTTCATTTTCATAAAAATTTGCAACTTCTGCATAGATCAAAAAAAAATTGTTTATGCGTTATATAAAAGAAAATGCGCAACACCCTCAGAAATTAACTGTAATTTTTAGCTATTTGAACTTAAGCTTTATCAGACTAAAATTTAAAAGACTACAAAACTGCATACCCGAAATTTCTAAAAAAAAATAAAAAATTTTAAATTTTTCATGAAATTTAATGAAAACTTTTCCGAATTTTCCTAGTTTTTATATGTACACATTTTTATAAAAAAAAAAATAACATAAATTATATACCATGAAAAACTTTGTGAATATTAAAAAAAAACTTTTTTTTGGCTGCACTATTTAGGACGTGAGTCACCACTGTATACGTTGTATGTCCGTTACTGTCCTTATGCAGTTCATGTCCACAATTGGTCCTGTGTAACTAAAGAGTCTATAGTCGAAACCTTCAAAATCGACTAATCTCTGTTCAGCCAAAGCCGGACGGTAATAGAAAATATGTTCTGAAGTCGCATCGTCTTCAAGGCAGAGGCGGCATTCAGGCTTGACGAGTTTAATGCGCTTTTCATAACGAGTGATATTATCGGTGACTTCACTCCCAGCTAGCTGCATTATACCAACGACTGGAGACCTAACCTTTATAATTTCATATTAATTGTTGAAAAAATGTCTCGTCTCATTTCCGGACATCCAAATTCCGACTCAAGTTTTGGCAGCTTCATAAAAATGGAAATGCTGCTCGAAGAGGCCATCAACTATCGACCGAATGTAACGACAGTAGGAAAAGCAATATCTGTTGAATGTGGCGGGTGAATTAGGACATCACATTGAGACGCTTCAAAGTTTCCTTACCGTTTTTTTTGAAATAGTAGATCACTGCGTGCTAATCCCACCAGTTGCACGCTTTGAGTCCACCATTTGTTGTAACAAACACGCCCGATTTGCCTTTAGAGCTGCTTTTTTTCAGGTGAAAAAATTGTTTTCTATGTTACTTGTTCTGAGTTCAAATGGAAGCCGATTTGGTTTGATTTGCACCATACCCGTGAATTCTTAATATTTCAGCGAGTTTTGCATGAATCTTGGTCCAGCAACGTCGCATTATATTGCTAGAATCTTAGTGTACTTTGGGCGATTCACAGAAAGGAGGTCCTGCTTTTTAACATGACACAAGTTCCTCATAACGAAACTTTGTGAAAGGCTACAACCTTTCAAGAGTCGACAGATTAGGTTTAATCAGTGTGGCATAATACTCCAAAAATCTAGCATAGAGCGGGAATACGTGTTGGCTTTCTTGAAAGTTGCCTTCTGAGGTACTGCTTTGAACACAACTTAAGGTCTTCTTCCTAGACTATAAAGAGGAACGACATTTGCCTAGGCAAAATAGTCGCATCTGGTAAACCGATGGCTCCAATATCGACCATGGTATTGTAACGGTTTATTACCCAGAGATAAACAACTCCAACCTGAGGTCAACAATATGGAACTTATGAAGAAGAGCGGCACCCCTTTCCTTGAAGCTATATGAAGCTTCGGCTGAGCCGGCTTGGGATTGCCTTCTACTACATATTAATGGCCGCGGTACTTACATGTGGAAAATTTGGATGATATTTTGGTGAGGAAAGGGCAGTCAAGGGATACATACGCCTAGAACTCCTCGGTTTATCACGGAGCTGTGTAAAGTGAACATACCAAATTTTGCTGGCAAATTATGGTCAGTATTGCTGGGTGGCGAACTCAGGAGATAAAAAAATTGATAAAAATCGACATTCCACAAATATCAGCTAAGAAACCTTATGCCTATTGATGAAGTAGGTAAAATGGTCACTGGCTTTCTAGCTGCGCATTGTAGGGTATTGAGGCATATGCCAAACTTGTGTTTAGCCCTTTTAGGCTGGCGCAGGCTGTGCCCGGCCTAGGTTGTAATATTTATGCTGATATCAAAGCGGCTTTAAGATATTTAGGTGCAATCGAGATCGGTTAGGGAATGCCTGACTTATCTCTCATTCACTTCTGGGTATTTTCAAATCAGTTTAATATGGGGAAACGAGTGATACTGCTGATCATCAGGGCTGTGCCCAATGACCGTGAAGCTGTGCTTATCAGAGGCACGTCAAGTCGGATAAACGAGAGGAGGATCGTCGTCGGTGGAAAGAGCTTCTTAGGTTAACAAAATGGAAAATCTCCATCTCCAGGCTTTGTCCTGAGGAAATCCATTCAGTATTTTCAAATCAGTTTAATATGGGGAAACGAGTGATACTGCTGATCATCAGGGCTGTGCCCAATGACCGTGAAGCTGTGCTTATCAGAGGCACGTCAAGTCGGATAAACGAGAGGAGGATCGTCGTCGGTGGAAAGAGCTTCTTAGGTTAACAAAATGGAAAATCTCCATCTCCAGGCTTTGTCCTGAGGAAATCCATTCAGTATTTTCAAATCAGTTTAATATGGGGAAACGAGTGATACTGCTGATCATCAGGGCTGTGCCCAATGACCGTGAAGCTGTGCTTATCAGAGGCACGTCAAGTCGGATAAACGAGAGGAGGATCGTCGTCGGTGGAAAGAGCTTCTTAGGTTAACAAAATGGAAAATCTCCATCTCCAGGCTTTGTCCTGAGGAAATCCATTCAGTATTTTCAAATCAGTTTAATATGGGGAAACGAGTGATACTGCTGATCATCAGGGCTGTGCCCAATGACCGTGAAGCTGTGCTTATCAGAGGCACGTCAAGTCGGATAAACGAGAGGAGGATCGTCGTCGGTGGAAAGAGCTTCTTAGGTTAACAAAATGGAAAATCTCCATCTCCAGGCTTTGTCCTGAGGAAATCCATTCAGTAAGACTTAAGACTGTCGCAAGCAACTGGTTATTTCGCCAACTGTGTGCAGGAGAATAAGGTGGAATCTTCTCAGCATTTTTCTCACGAGTAGCGGTTCAAATACGAGTACTTCGGCTCCTTAAAAAACACAACAACTTAAAGAAAAAATCTGGCGAAATTGAAATCATTAGCTCCGTCCATAAAAATCCAGCTCGCATTACAATTGAAGCCCCCTGAGATGAGAATGTATGTTCATTCGTTACTGTATTTGCTGACTGCGAGCTACGAGTTTTCAAGCAAGAAGAAAACCATTTCTCTCTTGAGGAGCAAGTAAACCAATGTGGAGTCATTGGACCAAACTTTTGCTAAAACAAAAAAAAATATGCCAAAATATCCAACAAACGGACTATGATGTGTTCAGCATGCATATAACAAAACAAAAATACCAAAAAAAATATATTTGTGTATAACTTCTGACCTCTCATGTCTGTACATTAGAGTGCTTTAAAAAACAAATTGCGGTTTTTTTCGCCGGAACTTTAAAATTTTTTATATTTTGGGACCTTAGCCAAAATATTTCGGAAAAAATTAAGATGTACGACAGCTGGACTAATTTTAAAGTGCTTCCAAAAATTATTAATTTCATTCCGTTGATAAAATTTTCAAATATTTGTATGCAGATCTTTAAAGCTTAAATTCTTCTATCATTCAAAATATTTTTTTTGGAAAAAAAATTTTAAAATAATTTTTTGGAAAAAAAAATTTAACACAATTTTTTTTTTTTTTGGTTTTGTAGGTATTTTAAAATGGGTCACTTGGATCTTGGAAATCTTAAGATATAATAGATTTTAATATTCCGATAATAAAAAATACTGCACCGACTTTTTTGTATGGAGAGTGATGCACTCTAATGTACACATTATTTATAAAATATTGACCAAATGTTCAAATTTCCAAATTCTTTTAATCTCCTATTTCCAGGTTTTCCAGTTTTTTAATATGAATCATGGTTGTACTCCGCCAACCAGAAAAAACACCATTGAAGGCATGGAAATATCCATAGTCCATGCCACGCCATAAACAAACTCAATCTTAAGCGGTGGGGAGGCGCAGAATACTGAAAAAATCCACAAAACCTTGTTACAGGAAATTTAAACAAAAATGCAGAAAAATGTGTCAACCGCGCCGTCGAAAATGTTGCCAAAGTGCTGGAAGAAATAGAATTTTTAACCAAAAATCAACGGTGCAGTCTCTGCAAAAGACTTGAAAGTAGTGAATTTATATAACAGAACCAAAAAAGAAATTAAGACACAAAAAACCAAAAACCAAAAACAAAACAATTTTAATTAGAAACTATCAAACAACATCTCTTAGCGTACGTAAAACACAAGCGAAAAAAATCACCGCTCAACATCAAAAAACTAAGCAAACATTAGGCGCCGAATACAGCACACATTGCGCACTTCTAAGCGCTCTTCACAAGCTAGCCCACTCGCACCCGCTCTGTTCACCACAAAATGCCACACTGCACTTCAACGAAGTCCACCGCTACGTCGTCGCCATTATTGTCCACTTCGACGCGCAAACTACTAGGCATTGCGCTCCTTTTCTTTGCACTGAGCAGCTGGACCACGCTTACACCGGTCGCATGTCAGCGGCCGCTACTCAATCACACCAACTACAATTCGATTGCTGCCGCGCAGCAGCACAATTACTTGGGCAGCGGCAAACAGTTACGCAATGGACGCACGCGCGACATGCCCGTACCACAAGCGACCATGGCAACAATGCTACAACGCGGCATGCCACTCTATGATGACTTCGATGGCACCGATGGCACGCGTCTACCGCCACTGGGCGGGCGTGGTGGTGGTGTACGCGGTGATAGCAATCGGCGTCGACTTAATCTATCCGGTTTGGGTGCGCGGCCAGATCGGGGTAGCGGACGACGTGGCATTGAATCGTTACGCAAGGAGCTGATGAAGCCTTCGGTGGGCGGACCAGGTGGTGGCATAAGCGGCAATAGTGCGGGGTATCCATCCTATTCGGCGACCTCATCGATAGGCAAAATCGACGGGCTGGGTAGTCTGGGACCGGCTGAACGTTATGGCGATCAATTGCGACCCGGTGTTGGGACTGTATACGCTACACATTTTCCACCACAATTTATTGGCAATCAGGCGGGTAAGTAAAATGAGGCGAGGTGTTAAAGAATTTGAATATTTTTATGAGAATTTTGGTGTTTTGCTTTACTATCGCTTGCAGGCACCATTGACGACAAGCCACTGCGGATGAGTCCAAAGAAGTCTTACAATTCAATTTCGGAAATACGCAAATTGAATAAGCAACGCTTTACGCCACAAGGGCAAGCCGATGAACCGGATGGTGGTGTCACAAATGGGAACGTCGATGGCGATGATATGGAGGTGGACGAACACAGAGATCCCTTGGAGGTGATCAAAGAGAAAATGCGCAATACAGCGCCCAAATCGGTGAGTTTTACGCACAACACAAATATCCAATCCGCCAAGCATCAAACGCAGACTTTCCCACTTTTTTTTATACATATAGAGTGAGGTATATTTAGACACTGGCACGCAGCTGCAATTTCTGCGCGTTGTCATCTACACCTTCCTTATTCAACCAAACATCCGCCTATCTGCATATTTAACCCAATCTCTAATCCATTTTCCTCGTCATTCAGCTTTCCTGCCACTTTCTTTCGCTTGCTTGTACCGTGTCCGCAGCTGTGGCGTGTCGTAATCACTTAACGGAAATGAACTTAAGGCATTTACCTCCTTACCTACGTCACCATGCCACACTGCACCGCACGACAGGCCGAGAAACAACCGCATTACATGTTGCAACTGTCACTTTAATGAGCAGCCGCGTGCCACAGGCAACATTTGCAGTAGGCAAGTCCAAAGGCAACCGTTAGCCGTTGCAGGAATAGAAAACAGAAACAAAGTAGTTTCGAGTCTGCGGTAAATTTATGGTGACAGCGGAACGAAAAAAAAAAACGCAAGAAAATAACCACAGCGGCAGCAGCAGCAAGTGTAGCTGTTGCTATTTTAAATTAAAGCGCAAATTATTTGCGCCGCTCCAGGTTTATTTTTTGCCTCCTTCAACAGCCCACCGCACGCCGCAGCCGGGTGTTGGTGTGGCAGACAGCTCTTCTAGCTAAGTACGTTGCATTTTTATTTTTTTGCTTCGAACACGAAGAAATGAGCTTAATTCAATCAATTAGGTGACAGGAATAGCAGAGTCGTTGTCGTGTACATTAGTTAGGCAAAAGTGTTGATAGTGAAATGGGCGATTCAATTGCTTTGCATATACATATGTACATATGTGGTTCGTACTTGCCGTTTCATCAGCTGCAATCAAATAATTAGTGGTTAATGAGAGTGTAAACGAAATGAAACTGAATGATTCGTTTGCTAAATTTGCAATTGATTCGCGAATGTTTACGGTACCCATGAATGCGTTGCGAACTAATCAACTTAAGCCCTAATAAAAGTCTTCTGAAGATTTTCAGAGAAGAAGTAGTTCTTATTAAACTTATTGAACTGCAACTTTGCCGCTGCTCTGGTCCTTCGTTAGGTCCTTATGCTATCCTACAAAGTTCAAGTGCAGTGACTGACTAATTTAGGCTATAATTCATGTTGCACACTTCGGCGAACAAAGCTACACTTCGAATCAACAGAAAACTGCGCAAACTACCAAACCGCCAGCACTCCACTTACTCTAAAAATCGGCGAAATTCGGATAGTCGTATGTACAGCTGAAGCCTCCAAAGTCATTGAGCCTAATTAACTCGGCGTCCTGATTCTAAAAGATCTGAGGATACATTAAAAGTAAACGACATGTCTTCCCTAAAGTAAATACTTATTGTGTACCCGCACGGTAATCAACGCTTTAAGCTCGCAGATAAATCGTGACCTAAATCAGAATCTCTTCGTTGAGACGACGCTATTAGATTAGTTCAAGTTAGAGTGGTTGCCCCAAACAGAACCAAACTTTGGACATAAGCATTGGTGGTTGATGATACAACTGCATTCGGTAACTGCCAACCTATATCGAAAAAACACTGAGTGCGAATTACCGCACATACCTAATTTAGCTTTTTCCACTGATTGCCCTCAGAGTTTGTTGTAAAACAGTAGGTTAAGTAATCTTATGCGGACAGCTCTGAAAAGAGTTCACTCGGAGCCCACAAAGGCCTATTGCGATGCCCAGCGTGTTTCCCATGTCCATCCCTACATCTCTTTAAGCCATCGTGTTTCTCTATCGAACCCTGCAGACCCCCAAAAGAAATTTTTCCTAATTGGCTATGCTCCCCAAAAATTTGAGGAGTTTTCTCCGGATCCTATTTCAGATCCCTTTCTAGCACGCTCATCCGCTTCCACACTTTCCGGAATACCACTATGTCCGGAGACCTAGTAAGGATTGATTATATGTTTTTAAAGGATTGCCGACGATCCCTACAAGCACACCGAATTAGTCGTTGCCTACCCTAAGGATTTGATGACAGCTTGATCTTCAACAAAGAAGGCAAGTTTAGACAGAACTGAGCCAGGCATGCTTACCAGATTTGCCGCCATGTCAATTGCATATACTTCAGCCTGGAAACGCTGCAGTGATCTGGGAGTCTATAAAACTCTCTCAGAGATAATTCTTTAGAGAAGACGCCAGATCCTGTTCCACTATACAATTTGGAGCTACCCGTGAAAAAAGGGATTTCGTCATCGTTTAGAATAATATTAAATTAGACTGTCGGTCGAAGTCAGTTTCCGATCAAGCGAAAGCTGGACATCGTAGTATAAATCTTGAGGAGATCTCAGCTCATCGTCCTCCAAGCCACATGATTCTTCGTATTACCGCGTGGATGGTCCATTACCCCAGCCAGGCGAGAACGGTGGCTTTTCAAGCCCCTGAAATTCCCTTGATTATACCTGACCCTACCCAGGGCCATAATCTTGGATCTCCGTTTGTCCTTGTTTCTGCTTTGTATGTGATCCTATTTTTTATTATACCCAGCATTGTACCTCATCCTCGAATATTCTTGCTACTTAATAAATTTCTGCTCACAATTTCTCTCATTCATCCCACATACAGAGTCCTTACGAAACACAAACGGATGCCCCTTCCTCAGAAATAGAAGATCAACTTGGCGTTAAATGCACATTCGAGACACCCTGCGCCTGGAATTGGTCGGAAGGTCTAGAAGATGGTTTTCAAGTAATAAGTGGCACAGAGCTGGTTAAGAAGAATATGACTGGATTATACCCGGGACCAATTGCAGACTCCACTGAAGATGCGAACGGTATGTTAATGTTTCAAACAAAAAATTTTCTACTATTTTTTACAAAACTTCTACCACCCAACTACAGGCCACTTTCTCTACGCGCGTCTACTACCACTCACTGATCAGGTGAATCTCACCTCGCCACAATTCAGCACCACTATGGAAAAATGCTTCCTTGAAGTCTACATGCATCAGAGCGATATGAGCCATGGACTTTCGCGTGTAGTCGTCGAACCATTGCATTCGCAGGAAAGTTCATGGGTGCCAGCAGAAGTTGTGGGCGATAACTATCGTCAGTGGTCACGCAAATTCTATCGTCTTGGTCGCATATCACGTGACTTTCGCATCGTCTTCGAGATTGTACCAAAGCTAAGCGAAGGACAGAAGGCACATGTGGCTATCGATAATCTGCGTATGGTAAATTGTTTCCCAGAGGGCACCAAATCAGAGAAGTGCAGTACTTCGCAAATTAAGTGCATGATGAATAAAGTGCCGGTTTGTATACCATTACCGCGTATCTGCGACATCACCAAAGACTGTGACGATGGCGAGGATGAATTGCTCAATTGCGGTAAGTTGTGGGCACCGAAGGGGAGATAAGAAAATAAATGGATAAGAAGATCAGTGTGTGATTAGTTGGTGCTGTCAGGGCTGAAATAATTTTCATAAGCCGCACTGATTACAGCTTGACCGCTAGGCAGGCTGAGCGAAACACACGCTGGTACAGGTTCAGCGGCAATGTCAAGTTAATCACGCTCGAGTGGCATTCGTTAGGCGTGAAGTGCTAGTCGGAACTCTCAAAAAAAAAAGAATATACATTAATATAATCACTCATTCACTATTCTACTCTTTCATTTCTTCTCTTTCTCACAGATAAAATTCCTTATGGCGGCCGCTGCGACTTTGAAAACGATTGGTGCGGCTGGCGTGACTCGGGCAAGACGGTGCTGACTTGGTCGCGTCACACTGGTGCTTCCCCCACACATGACACCGGTCCCGATGGCGATCATACACAGCAGCATCTCTTGAATGCTACTGGTGGCTATTATATGCTCGTCGATATGAATCAACATATGAATAATTCGGAGAAGGCTTCACAAATTGGTTTTGCTAGCAATGCTTTTATGATCAGTAAAACCTTTAATCCACCGCCACTGGTGCATGGAAATCCCAATTCGCCGTACCGGAACTCATGCGTGGTGCGTTTTTATGTGCATCAGTTTGGCAAGAATCCGGGTAGCATAAACCTCTCTGTGGTTGAAATGAAGGAGAAGGAGAATATAACTACAACGCTTTGGTGGAGCAGTAAAAATCAGGGTAGCGATTGGCTGCGTGCTGAATATCTGCTACCGAACATTACATCCAAGTAAGTTTTAATTGTTTTTGTTCAAAAAAGTGTGGGGTAAAAGTTTCTGTGTTCGTATGTTCGGTCAAGAGAGACGCAGTAAGATTCGTGAGTGTGATTCTCGGCATGAGTCCATCAAACTGGTGAGAAGATAAATCGCTGAAAATGCTAGGAATCGGTTCCCCCCTTACTCCATTAATATTTCACACCCTTTCCTCACGCATTCGTCTGCTTCGTGGTATAAAAAGATTAACCCTTTCCAGACTGTAAGCCTTTAATAAAAACACTTACCCGATGATTCGAGGAAATCCTCCTTGTTTGAAGCCGATGGAAACATGAATATTCCTAATAATTTTTAAAGAAATAATCAAATTATTTTCCTTTACATTTTTTGCTCCTTAAAACTTTTTTGCTTGCGCTTAGTATGTGTCTTATTCTGCTTTTGTCAAAAAAGGTTGCTTCTAAGAAATATTTGTTTTCCTAAAAAAATTTTTTTTCTTTCAAATATTTTTTTTCAATTTTTTTACATGAATTGTCTCTAAAATTATTGTTTTTTTTACAAATAGATTGTTTTCTAAATATTATCCCGTTTTCCAAGTTTTTAACCCTTTCTGGATTATAAGCCTATAGTAAAAAAATTTACCCGGCGAATTGAGAGAATTATATGAGTAATCCTAATAAATTATAAAGAAACAATAACTGTTTTTTTAATTTCCCCAAATGTTTTTCCTAAAAAATTTTTTCTCCTTAAAACTTTTTAGCTTATACACAGTATGTAGTTTCAATCTAGTTTTGTAAAAATATTACTACTAAGAAATACTTTTTATCCTAAAAAAGTATTATTTTCAAACAAATATTTTTTAACAATGTTTTTTTTCTAACAAATGTTTTTTTGATTACTTTTCTTCGAAAAAATAGTTTTTTCTAAAAACTATCCCTTCTAGTTTTTTTCTGAAAATTTACATTTTCCTTATAAAAGTTTTTTTCTAAAGCCTGGGGTTTTCTCTAAATTCTTATTTTTTTAATTTCTTGTAAAATTTTCGACGTTTATTTAAAAAATAAGTCGTCACACAATTTCCTTATGAGTGGAAAAACTCTTTGTGAAAAATGTTTCCCCTGAGCTTTTGACGAAAACTATCACAAAGCAGAAATGCCGAGAGACTACTGTACCAGCATAATCGACAAGAGTTCTTGCTTTGAGCTAAACGCTAGTTTTATAAATCGATACTAAGAGCGATTTATTCGTCCTCAACAGAAAGAGGTGTAGCGGCTAACCTATCTCACAGACGACAATCACCAAGGTGTCTAACGCTAGCCTACTTTCATCCGACAAATCCAAGAACAAAGAAAGTTACATACAACCCTGTCATGAGTAATTAAAAAATGTACTAATGCTCGCATCGATCGCAAGACAAAAGTGGCCGGCTCCAAAACCTACTGCGTCTCGAAAACTATATTAAGGATCCGGTTTCTTGCAAGGATTATATAAAGATGCTTTCATTGAAATGGTTGGTGTTGGCCTTTATTGGCAACAATTAAGCCAACGGATCTACCAGTTTCGGTCTTCCTGAATACCGGCAAAGAAAACCACCCTGTCCTTCAAAGTTTAAGGAAAGAGTCCTAATTTCAAAATAAGTAACTCAAAACTGCCGATGACTCAGGCGCACAAATTAACTGTGATTCTAGGTATTGCGTCGCTCAATTTACTTGAAGTCTATGGAAAAGAGCAAGCTTAGAAAATACGAAGGCGAGTGTAAAGTCTTGGTCACATCTAAAAAGCTTTGAAAGCAAAGAGAGTATAATTTGTTCATTCTCAATATATCTGACCAAGAACGAGTTACCTAAATCTAGAAAACATCGGGTAATAGAGTTCAACCCAAAATTTCAATCCTCCACATATTTGAAGGGGCGCATGTCACGCGAACATGTAATATCATTGGAAGCTCTGTTTAGTGTCTGCCCAACCTCTCGTCAATTATTTACGTATTCCACTACCCATGTAAAGTAATTACCCTTTAGGTTGTAGCCGACTCAAGTTCCAATTTTCTGTCTTAGAGCCGTCAGTATGTACATTTTTTACCGAACCAAATAAGTGTGTCTGGATCTCTCCTTTGTTCACTTCTATGAATTCTAAGGGCGTCTGTTAAAACTTATTTTTGCCCTTTCCTACAGATACTATCTACACTTCGAAGCCCGTATGGGTATGCGCATCTTCTCGGACGTTGCAGTTGATGATGTATCCTTGAGTCCCGAATGTTTTGGCATAAATATACCGAAAGAGCATCTTAACGGGTATAACTACTGGGATGTTCGGCATAATTTCCGAAGTCCCTCGCATCGAGACTACGAAAATAAACACTGTAAGTGAATATTCTCTAGGAAGGCGTCAGACTTTATAAAAACAAAACCCCAACCTCTTCCTCAACAGATCTACAGTTAACTACGTGCGACACGCGCGGCATGATAGGACCGACACAGCAACAATGTGAAGCGGCCTACAAAGAGAGTAATCAAAGTCATGTGCTGAAGGAGGTGCACGTCGTCGAAGATCAAAGTTCCTACAAGGGCATGCAAAAATGGAAGGTGCCACATGAGGGTTACTATACGTAAGTGCAATCTAATGAGTGAAGTGTGCAACGTAAATTAAATTTTTACACGCTTCCTTACTCTGCAGCATTATTGCCAAGGGCGCCAGCGGTGGCTTGGGTTCCGGTGGCGTGGGCTCCTCACGTGGTGCCATGGCCGTGGCTATACTCGAACTACACAAAAACGAGGAGCTCTACATACTTGTGGGTCAACAGGGCGAAAATGCTTGCATCAAGTCGTTGAGCGCCAAAGAAGACGGTTGCGGCCCTGATACGCCCGAACTGGACTTGAGCAAATACAGTTTCAGCTCGAAACAGCATATGGTGAAGAATATTTATATTGAAAATGGCGCTGGTGGAGGTGGTGGCGGGTCCTATGTATTTCTGGTAAGTATTCCAAATCACAAATATAAAAATGATAATAATATTCACTAAAATAAAAAAAAAACAGCTCAACTCTGCCAAGAACGAGGCTGTACCGCTGGTAATCGCTGGCGGCGGTGGCGGTCTCGGCATTGGACAATACATCGATGAAGACTTTCAGCATGGACAAAAGCCCAACCCGATTCGTCTCGGCGTTACTGGCCAAATTCATGGCGAGCAAGTAAATCTGAAAACCGCAGGCCCAGGTGGCGGCTGGCGCGCCAAAGCCGATCAAGCGCTGAGTCCCAAGTATGGCGCTGCCTTGCTGCAGGGCGGCCGCGGTGGCCACTCGTGCTACGTCGAAGTGATGGGCAACAATGGCAGCGCGGTAAACAAGCATGGACAAGGTGGTTTTGGTGGCGGTGGTGGCGGCTGCAATACTGGTGGCGGCGGTGGCGGCTATGCGGGCGGCGATGTTTATCTCAATGAATCGAATGGGGAGGGTGGCACATCGTTCATCAGCACCAGTCGCAGTTTGAAGGAGTTGAACATTGTTTATGAGGGTGCGAGCAGCGGCTCTGGTTCGGTCATTATCATACCGGCGATCGAGGGTTGCGGTTGTGATTATCGTTGCATAGCATTGGATGAATATCGGACGTCGGTACGTTGCATATGTCCGGATGGCTGGCGATTGAAGCGCGATAACCAAACGGCGTGTGAGGGTAAGTTGTTTGGGGTGTGGTGTTAAATACTTTGAGGCGTCAGTTAATAAGTGTCATTTTTTTCTACAACCACAGTGATTTCCGACGAGCGTATACCATTCTCATATCTCATTGGATTTTTCATTTTCCTGGTTGTGCTATTGGGCGCTGCGCTTACTGCGCTCATCATTATTTTGTGTAAGTAGAAGGGATAGATAAACCTTACCAACCAGTAGGCAAGAGCTCTATTCGTACATACATATACGCAGCTACCCTTGTCGTTTTCTTGATTCCCCATTTTTTTGACAATTTTTTTTCGCTTTTTCAGACAATCGCTATCAGCGTAAAAAGCAGGCCAAGCTCCGCCACAAAATGCTACTCGAACAGGATCTACAACTCAGTCGTTTGCGCCACAATATCGATGATTCTAATCTGACTAACTTCAATCCCAATTATGGCTGCGATGGCATACTAAATGGACAAATCGATGTAAAACAGCTGCCGCAAATAGCACGCGAAAGCTTGAGGCTCGTGAAGTAAGCAAAAACAAGTTCTTAATCGAATTGCAGATTTTTCTAAAACTATTTTGCTTTTTTAATCATTTGCTCATGCACTCGTACTCTTGCTATATTTTTCTCTCTCTTTTTATACATCACTCTGGACCTACATTTCTCTCTCCTTTGCTTTGCTCTTGCTATCTATTTCTCTCGCTCTTTATACATCACTCTCGCTCTACACTTCTCTCTCCTTTGCTTTGCTCTCTCTTATCTCTCTCTGCCACTACTTCTCTCTCTCTCTCTCTCTTAAACAGAGCACTCGGTCAAGGCGCCTTTGGCGAAGTCTACCAAGGACTTTATCGCGCACGCGACAACGACACCGTCGAAATGCCAGTGGCCGTTAAAACCCTGCCCGAAATGTCCACACGTCAAGCAGAGGAGGACTTCCTCATGGAGGCTGCTATCATGGCGAAATTCCATCATCCCAATATGGTACATCTGCTTGGCGTTTGCTTTGATCGACATCCACGTTTCATTGTGCTTGAGCTCTTGGCTGGTGGCGATCTGAAGAATTTCTTGCGTGAGGGACGCAACAAGCCCGAACGTCCGTCGGCACTCATAATGAAAGATCTCATCTTTTGTGCGCGCGATGTAGCCAGGGGTTGTCAATATATGGAGAGTAAGCGTTTCATTCATCGCGACATAGCTGCGCGCAATTGCTTGCTCAGCAGTAAAGGTCCCGGCAGAGTGGTGAAGATCGCCGATTTTGGCATGGCGCGTGACATTTATCGCAGTGACTATTATCGAAAGGGTGGTAAGGCTATGTTGCCGATTAAGTGGATGCCACCAGAGGCATATGTGGATGGCATATTCACCGCCAAGACAGATGTGTGGTCATTTGGTGTGCTGCTGTGGGAGGTAAGTGCTGTGTAGAAGCGCGTTAGGAGACCTTAGTCTATGAAATTTTTACTTTTACAGGTCTTCAGCTTAGGCATGATGCCATATCCAGGTTTACAAAACCCTGAAGTCATGAAATTGGTTGCTAATGGCGGACGTCTTGGCGCACCACCTGGCTGCCCGACAACGATCTATCGCATTATGGCTGATTGCTGGAATCCCACACCAGAAGATCGCCCCAACTTTACTAATCTACTAGAGCGGATTATGGAGTGTGCGCAGGCAAGTGCAAAACAAAATAATAGTTGAAAAGGCGTTGGAACGCCAAAAAGCTTTTATTTCTAACTTTTCGAAATTTGTTCTAACAAAATATTTTGTGCTCATCCCCCTACAGGACGAGGCCCTCATGGAGTCCCCACTGCCGCCAAGTATCTTTCGTCCGCTCTCAACCGATCGCGATCAGTTGGCAGCCGTACGTCCACCCGGAAACGAAGAGTTTTGCTTACCAATGCCCCACACATCCGACTACCTAATACCGCTTCCCAGCGGTGCAAGTGTCGGCCTAATTGCAAACATGGACTACGCCAGCTCGATTGCTGGCGCACACAATCTCAACCCAAGTGTAGCCACCACCTCGACCGCATGCAGCGCCAATATCTGCACACCGCCAGCTGTCGCATCGCCCGATGCACCCAATGTTGCATTCAACCTGGACGCAGGCGGTATGAGCGGCACAGACTGCTGGGAAACTTCCTTCATTTTACCAAACTCGAAGAGCGATCAACCTTTGCTGAGTGGCGCCGTAGGTGGTACAGCGGCTCCGCCATCCACCAACGATTCACAGCGCAGCATTAATGGTGTCACCGCAAACGGACCCATTACGGTGACTGCGGGCAATTTGGGTAGTGGACATAGCAGCAGCAGTCAACATTCACCAATAATGCACAACGGCATCAATGGCATCAAGATGAACAGGCTCAATCACAACAATAACAACAACAGCAACAACAATAATAATCATCATCATCAACATCATCAGCAGCAACATATTGAGGCCGAGGAGGCGAAGCTTATAAGCTTAGATACACCACAACCGACGCCGACCACAATACAGCCGCCACTGTCATTCTCCTCGCAACTGGATGGCATAACACTCGATCCGGCGGCGCTCAGCAAAAGTCTGCAGCAGCACAAGATGGGTGGAGCAGGCGTAGGCACCGGTGTTGGCGGCATCGGCGTCAATAAATCCGCTGCTTCGTCATCCTATGCCAACGTACAGATGATGCCGTCGTCGGTGAAGGCGGCGCCAACGTCCCATAAAATGGCCGGCGCCGCTGGCATTGATATGAGCAAGGAGCTGCCAAACGGTGCAGGTGGTAATGGCGGTGGAGAGAAGTTGAATGGCATGCTTGATGCAACGCTGCATAATGGACCGTCCAGCGGTGTGGTTCCGAATGGCGTGGCAACTGTAAATGGTAATGGCGTCGGCGGAGGTGGCAGCAGCGCGGTGGCTGTCGATACGGTACCATTCACAATACAAGGCTACAGTGACCGTTACAAGGATAATCATGCCGAGATCAGCTGTTAGACAGCTGAATGTAATTGGAAAGTAGAAGCTATGTATACAAACAGCTGTCTAACGGCCGACAACAGCTGAGGCAGTGAGTGCACACAGCTGTTGAACGGCGCGACGACTGATCACCGATGACGGCAGCGACTGTGGTAGCGGCTGCGTAAAACGCAGCTGGCAAAGGGTCAGTGCGGTGTACGGGGTGTGTTGGTTGTATTGTATTTAATTTTCACACACAAAAAAAATATGTATTTATAAGAAAAATATTTAGTAAAAAAATATAAAATAAATGTATGTTAAAAATAAGCAAGTAGAAAGGTTATGTCATTAGTTTAAGTAACTGAAGACAACGGGACCAAATAATTAATAAAAAAAGGAAAAACAAAAGCAGCAACAAAGCAGAACTGGCTGATTTTTATGTAAAATAAATTTAAATACGTTAATATTTATATTTAATAGAGTAAGTACATACATGTGTATGTGTGTATGTGTAAAATAAATACACAAGTAGACAAAGGCAAACTGAAAATGACAGTGAATTTAAGCAAAAAGAGCTAAAACAAACAATAAAAATAAATTTCAGATATGTATGTATGTGCACTATAAAGTAAATAAAATAAAAATAACTAAGCATAGCTGAGTTAGTTTTAAGTGAATATATATAGTTTACATGCATATAACAAACGGATGTATAATTAAAAAAGAGTATAATTATAAACGAAAAAACTGCAACTAAAATTAAAAAAAAAATAAAAAATTAATAAAGTAAGCTAAAGTTTTTAAGTTTTATGTAGAGTGTGTGTGCATAGCGTAGCTTATTTGTATATTAAAATGTGTGAAAAATGCATAAAAATAATTTGTTAATGATTTTTTTAGAATGAAAGTGGAAAATGAGCTGCAAAACAGGGGAGAGCAAATGGTGCGTAAGTTTATAAAAGAAAAAATTATAATAAATTTAATACCACACAGTTAAAAATACGGCATAAATATCACAGTTGATGAATTGGAAAGGCACAGACTTGCGAGCGGCTTAAATTTAAACGAGTGTACTCGTAGTGAATTTATGTACATATAAGTAGTTTTGAAAGCTAGAAAAATACAAAATTAGTTGTTAAAAACATAACAACTTATCGAAAATGGAATTTCAGCGTTTTTAATTAATTATAAATTTTCAAAACATGGCGAAAATCGCTGAAATTGCTAAGGAAAGTGCGAGCGTGCACGCAGATAAGCAGCGAGAGCAGCAATTTGAAGCATAAAACATATAAAAAAATTTAATGACATATTATAAAATTAAATTAATTAAATAACCCATAAAACTACATATAATGCTTGTAAAAAGTAAATGTGCTTGAGTGATATACATACATACATAATTATTTATGTTGATGCATTAAATGTTTATAAGGAATGAAAAAAATAAATAAATTTTAAGCCAAAAAATCAATGAAACAATAATTTAGCAAAATATTGTGTGTACATATAATAAAATTATACAAAAACATTTAAACCAAAACTGTTTTAAAATTGAAAATTAAGTTTGCAAAAATATTAATGAGAATTTAATTGTTGGCAGATAAACAAACAAAAATATAAAAATACAGAAACTTAACAAAAAAATAAACACACGCTAAACAAAAAGTAATAAACAGAGCTAAAATATAACTACAGTAAAAAAAAATATTGACAAATATTGATTGAAAAAACACACAATTCAATGTGCAATACATTAAAAACAGAGTTTAAAAAGCTTAAAAAATTAACCATGAGTGAGAGCGTGTTAGAAAAATATTAAAAATTAATAAAAATAAATAAGGCGACATTAACTAAATTAGTACATAAAACAGAGGAAAGGAGTAATGCTGTCTCTGGTGTTAGTTCTATTTGATGTTGAATATTTCTGTCTCGAATAACTTGTTTGGGTATGTCGTGTAGTTTTTTAGAGATTAAATTTTTTTCGTTTTTTTCTTTTAAAATTTCCTTTGAATTCAACTTGTCAGGAGTTGAAATTCACTCGGAAGAGAATTGCAGAACCTGTCTGAATGAAAATTAAGGTTTACTGTACGAATTAAATAAAATGTTAAGCGTTTTGGTATCGATGTTACTTTGACGATCCCGCCGTTATTATTTCACTCCATTCTTACATAATTTCATGGTTAGATTAGGTTTTTGGTGGCTATTCTCATACGAACCGCTTTGGTTCGTAGTTGATTCAGACCGTACGCCTAGTTGCCCGGAATCGAAAATTCAAATGAAAATTTCCACTTTGATGACGAATTATTATATTCTTTATGAATTTTATTACAAAACTCATGAAAACTCTGTTGTGAATTGGATCACTTTGTTCTAAATAAATTACATCTTCTCCTGGCAGTTAAAAATAAAATATACGGAAGGGTGGTCCTTAAATTATCCACATATAAATTTTATGCTACGTAAAAAATAAAGGCATCCGCGAAAATTTTGAACTTTTAAAAAAAATTTTTGGGGTTTGCTACCAGGGTTTGCAAAATTTAAATTTTTTAAATCGCCAAAATTTGACAAAATCGTCACTTGCAATCTGAAAAATTTTACATATTATTGAAACGTATTCATATAAATTCATAGACTTGCTTAGTCGTAACTGGTAAAGGTCAAAATTTTGTCGAATTTTTATGATTTTTAAAAAATAATTCAAAATTTGCAAACCCTGGCAGCGGCTCCTATATTTGCTTTCTTTAATTTTGTATTAAAATTTTCGCGGATATCTTTATTTTGTACATAACACAAAAACTGGGTTGCCCGATGTTATTGACATTGTTAAGCACCACCTTAATGCACGGTCATTCGAGAATGGGAATCCCACTTACAGAAGTCGTTTCAATGTCAGTATAACTTCTAAACAAACGCTATTCAATCCAGCAACATTTCACATTTCTTCTCAGATTTTATTTAAGTTATTTGATTGAATTTATTAAATTTTTTACTTTCCGTATCCCAAAACACTAACAGTTCATTTCCACCAAGTCTTAACTGCAGTTTATGTCTATTGGAAGAAGGAGATTCTAACTCGAATGGGGTAATTGCTCATAATAAGTACAAGTTGGCGATCACCCTATGTTTAAATTCTTGGAACTTACCTGAGCTCTTCACTGCAGTTAAACCTTCGGTGGAAATAAGGTATAAACGAGATACTGAAAAATTATATGCAATAGTGTTTATCTTGTGAAGCTCTGTAAGTATCAATGATTTGCTCAGAAATATATACATATACATATGTATTTGTTTGTTTGTAAGTACAAAAAAAACATTGAAAAAAAATTGCAGAAACACCAGATATCCAAATGATAAGACACAATTGCAAAACACACAGAAAATATAAATAGCGTAAGCTAAGAATAATCAGTACAATAATAAACCTGCAAATAGAGATAAACATTAAGTAAAACTCACAGTTGATGACAAAATAATTAATACAATTTAGTTAAAGAACGAAATAAATAATGAATAAAATATGTATATTAAAATCATGCATAATAATTTGAAGTGAATCAAACTATTTATCTTCAGGACTTGAAATAGAAATTGCAGAAAAAGTTAATTCCATATTTGGTTGTTTTGTTTTATTCTTTTTAATTAATGGCTTTCAGTCCCTTTTTTTTAAATAATCCAAGATAATTTAATTCATCAAATGTCAAAAAAATGTGTGTCATATTTTTCTGCGTGAGGTTTTTTATATATATATTTTTTCTTCAACTCAAGGATTACTCTACGTTTTCCTCCTCATATCCCTCAGCTAAACAGCCTCATTGCGAATATTATATCGGGTACAGGTCGTTATTCGAGCGTCAAGTCGTATGGAAAATTCCATGGCATTGCCTAAAATTTCGATTCGAGTAGTGCATTAACACGGGAAACTTGACAACACTGGATAGTATTTGATGAAATTCGCCATGTACCTATTTTAGCACGACATCAGGCAATGCTAATGTTTTCGAGTCGTGCAATTTAGTGTAATTTATGAGTTACATGTCTTAACCGTGGTTAATGTTTCATTTGGATGGTCATAAGCTTCGTCAATAGCTTGGAGTTGTAACTTCTTGTACAGGTTTTGGCGTATCGGAGTTCAGATGAGTAATCCGAATGGGCTCTTTTATAAATACACTCTTCTATTCTTCACTTTTCACTTATAGTATGCGTGTAGTTCTACAGGAAGCAGGGGTTCTGGCCTAAAGATCGAGTAGCTGCTGCTTTCCATGCCAGTTTGTTAGCCTCCTCGTTTATATCACAAATATTCAATTTTTTTCTGTATATACAACAATTTTAAAAATTCGAAAATTTTTATGAGGACGACCCTAATGTGTTTTGCATACACCCTTATGTTCATACATATGCATGTATATATATCAAAGAAGCAAAAGTTATCGCACTATTATTCCCACGCGTACTGACATGTTCTAACATGTTTCATATATTTATGTCTTTTTGTATATTTTTATAGTTTATTTAAGTCTTTAGTTTTATTTACACACTCAATTCTAAATTAATTTAGTTGTATGCGTCACAATAAACAAAATCCGAAGCATTTGTGGGTTGTATTTCAAAAGGCGCGAAAATTAAAAAAAAAAACTAAATAAAAAGTAAATGCTTTTGCTGAATTAACGTGCATGATGTTTTTGAAATTACAAACTTCGGGCATCTTTAATACATATTTACATGCATATAAGATGATTTGGTTTCTATTTTTTATTATTTTTTACATATATATTGCGGTATTATTTTGTTACTATTCTGCAATATTAACCAATAAAATATAATATTTTCATGCACTCACGCTTTTTTCTTAGTTTTTTTTTGCTGCCGATAATTGTATGGTTGTATTTAACTGGCATTTTATAAAAATTGTGTGAGTTTCAATGACCTTAGAAAAATATACGAGAATTTAAATATAAAAAAAAACAATTGACTGCTTAAAATATATTTCTTATAAAATAAAATGTTTAAAAACTTATTTTATTTAAAATATTTTTACAATATTATAACATTTATGTACGAGTATCTGTAGCGGCATTAAGATTGATCATTAATAGTATATTCCGTCGTAGTACATATGCATGTTATTTATGTAAGAAATTATGTAAAAAAAATGTATTAGTTCATAAGCTAAAAACAATAAAAACACAAAATGTGTATGAAACAAAGTGCAAGTAGAAAAATATTTTTTTAGTGCTGTAGTGTGCATTTTTACGTTAAAAACACTGTTGACATTTCATACTTAATGCGAGAGTTTGGTGCTGGTTACAGGGTAATGACAACCGTGGGTGTTGGAAAAATACTTTTTAATGAAAATTTGAACGCAATAAATTAAATACAAATTTCCACCTTTTGTAAATTTTTGTTGTTTTTTCACAAAAAAAAACTTTAAAAATGGGCTCAAGCCAAGGCACATTGAATAGGTAGTATTAGTAGGGTAGCTGATTTGATTTTTTCTTTAATTATTTGGTCTCAAAATGTCAAATATTTTAATTTTTTTCTCACCAAAATTCTAAATTTCTAAAACCTATTTGCATGTGAAACATTCTATTCGAGAAGCAAGCAATTTTACTAAGATATTTAGAAAGCTGAAACAATTTATATTTTCCAATTTAAATCTTTTACATCTTATTTTTTTGTAGTTCAGAACAGTTTTGACACTTTCGATACCAGAAGCAACAACAAAATACACGCAAATATTGTTTTTGCTCTAATGCTACTAACTGTTCGGTATGCCTTGGCTCAAGCTCAGCAAAATTGTTGACAAAAACTTCTTTTATTTTTGAATAAGTAGATTTTTTAGTGAACATTTTTTTTCAGAATAATAATAATCAAATGGTCGTTGGGCAGTGGTCTTTGAAACATTTATTTTTAATATAAGATAAATTTAAAATTTTTTTTTTTCATTTATTTACCAACTTTAGGCTGAAAGGATTCTTTTAATTTAGTTGTATAATTTTAGCAAGAGATTTTTAAGGTTTTCTTTGAAAAATATTCTTAAAATAAAGTTTGACCACAAAAGCTAACAAAACAAATTTTTCCCCCACTGTTTATAAAATCGGACCACATATTTTCAAACAAATTTGTTTTTTTTTAACTTGTCGTTTGGCAGCAAAGCTGAAAAATATTTTTTTTTGTTAATATTTTCAAAATATCGAGTGTGAAAGTTTTAGCAATAATTGGTTTTTACAGTTTTTTGAAAATATTTTTAAAAATACAAACACAAAACAAAAAAAAAATTACTCCAAATGCAATCGGTTTATTTTAAAAATATTTTTGCAGGAAAAAAATTTGGTTTTAAAACTATTTACTACTTTCAAATGGTTGTTTACAAGCAAAGCTGAGAAAATGTTGTTTTTTTTCGAAAAATTTTATCAATTGTATATTGCAAAAGTTTTTAAGTATATAGAAATTCA